ATGATATTTAGAGATATTTTAAAAAGCACAATATTTTCCAACATAGTAAAATGCCAAGCATGATGGGGAACTGATAAGCTTTTTAGGGCCTTTTAGGGATATCTGGAAACCAGCTAACCTTTACAGGTCGAGATATACTTTGGTTTAAAAAAAAAAGTGAGAATTTGGTTAGAATGGTCAATGTATTGATGGCAACAAGTAATATTTGAAGTCTGTACATCTCATAATCAACACTTAAGTATTGATTTAATTAAGTAGGATGAAGGAAACTTTTTTTCATCAACATTTTATATTAAGAGTGTCTACATGACACATTAAAATTGTTTTATGTAAGCACTTTGCAACATATTTTATTGAAAGATCCAGCATTCACTTGTGTCAGGTTAACACTTGTACAGCTAAAGGAGCAAAGCCAGGTCATTTTTCATGATTTAATATTCAGACATTTGGTTGAAAATGGTCTAATATATGTTGTTGAAAAAAAAAAAAAGGAACTTTACAGGAGAGGGTAAAAAACATTTACTTTGCATTGACTGCTGTACTTTCCATATAAGTTAATATAAAATGTAAAGAGATTTTATTCCAAGCAATTTTTAAGCTTTTCTGTTGGTCCATTAATCATGACATTTTCAGACAAGGTAAAGGACAGCTGCTCAAATAATCCTGAAAAAAAAAAAATGTATATACACATTTTCTTTGGACAGTGACAAAATGCAGACTTTTCCTTTTGACAAGAAAAGCATTACCACATTAATGCCATGTGAAATATAAACACTTCATGAATATAAATAAAGTCTAAATGATGTTTTGCCTACATCTTGGATGTCTTTTACCTGCCATGCATTTGAGAAGTGGACAGAAATCAATCTAGCCTGGAATCAGGAGAGCTGCTGCAGTTAGGACCTCTTCTTACAAGACTTCCTCCAGTTCCAGATTGAGTTGATATCTGTCCACACTTCAAAGATATCCTAGAAGAGCTTTAATGACCAGCTGTGATCCAGTCACTACCTTCACAGCAACTGGCCTCCATAAAGGAACTTAAAAGGAAGTGCTGATGGCACTGTACCCCAAAGAATGTAAAACCCAGCAACATATACCTCAACTATGGTAATGGTATGCAATTGTTACCACACTCTGGTCCTCCCATTGCTGACACTGGTGTTCATTTATTCTTCACAGAAAAACATTTCCAATAGAATAGAACTCTCTGGAGCAACCTACGGTCATGAGCCTAAGGTCACTATGCCCATTGGCAGGCATCAGCTAAAGGGGTATAAAGCTCCTCAGCACTGGTCTGTGGAGCAGTGGATCTGCATTCTCTGAAATGATTGAGTATTAAATACTAATACTATTGGGATGAGTTGCAGAGGTGTTTGTGAGCCAGAGTGCTGCAACCATCTACACTGCAAAAAATTATACATATTTTGGCAAGTAAAATCAGCTTAAATCTAGTTGTTACACATTGTATTTCTCATTTTGAGAATGTTACTGTAACATTATTAGATAATAACAACCAGAAAATCGCACACAATGATTTGTTAATTGGTAACAATTTTAGCTAGTTTTGAATGTAGCTCAAAAATGCTAGCCAGTACATGACTAGCAAACACTGTTTAGAACAGTTTTACACAATAAAATCTTATTTATTTATTTATTTTTCTTTCATTAAAACACAAAAAAAGTTAAAGTGTTTTGTTACACACTGATTTTCAGACTTTGGTACACATTTACTTCTAAAAATGCGATTTAACTGCTCACTATGTGGCCTTGAGGGACAGGGATGCAGTCTCACTTCCTGCTCTACAATGCAATGGCATGGCTAAATTAAAGCTCTGCCTATGGACTAAAACTTTGTGTTTTGGTATTGACATGAAAATGTGGGACAGCATTTTTTAAATAAAGTTTAATAAACTCATAATAAATCTAAATCTAACTTCAGTCTAAAAGTAATTAAAAAATAAATAAAAAATGTAAAAAATACAGAAAATAACATACCCTATAAATGATGATGCTGTGTAAATTTAGCTTATCACTATCCTAATGAATGCCTTGGGTTAAAATAAATCATAACAGTCCTTGTGAATATCTAAGGTCTGAATACTTTATTGTGGTTTTAAATAGTTTGTTGCTTCGGGACCACAGTTTGAACTAATTCAGTAGAAAGGCCCTTATAAGCAATTATAGTAGCCTTAACTTTGGTGTGAAAACACATTGACAAATGTTGATAAATCAGCTTCCCCTGTATCTTCACATATATTATGTTAATAGCATATCCTATATAACCTGTATTTTGCCTTTTGAGGCTTAGCACTTCCACTTTAAACAAGTGTAAACAAATGTAGACGCTGTCTGGGTGTTGCAGTGCTGTTTTGATCAATACATTTGAAGCACGAGGGAGTATCTGCACCATCTTCAGCACACGTAATCAGGGCCATCAAAAAGCTGTTTTTGAATATATTTTTTGTATGTCTGTATGAAGAGAAATGGGGAAATGAGAGTTTGAAGTAATATCTTGAACTTCCATGAACTTCACGAATCTGTCAGATATAATAGGACAGCCTGATTTCCTTTCCTCCCACTTTCACCTCTACACTTGTTCAGTAGCTCAACCCAGGAGACTGTTGCTATAGAGATCTGTTCCATCCCTGTAGTAACCATAGAAACTGTCTCCTGGATCACACAAAGAATAGGGTGTTAGACATACAGAATTACCATATGAACCCTTGAACTCTCCCATTCTCTCTCTCTCTCTCTCTCTCACTCTTTCTCTCTCTCTCCCTCTCTCTCTCTCTCTCTCTCTCTCTCTCTCTCTTTCTCTCTCTCTCTCTCTCTCTCTCTCTCTCTCTCTCTCTCTCTCTCTCTCTCTCTTTTTCTCTTTTAGATGCTGGTTGCAAAACAAACAGTCACACAAGGACAAAGCAGCATACATGCCTCAATTTAATCTGAAGTGCATGGTGAATGATGGCCTTACATAGCGCACAAAGAGAGAGAAAGAGACAAATGCCAGCCAGACCACCATTAGCATCAATAACAGACATAGCTAAAGTGAGCAGAATTCCAGGGAAAATGTCTTCAGATTTGATAGTAGCTAATCATCATTATTATCATCTGCCTGGCTGGATGGGGAAAGTAACACAGTTTCAACGGATTGAAGGAAGATGGGGGAGTGAGACACAGTCTGGGAGATACACTCATCAAGATGCTGCTGCACTGAGCTGCTCTGACTGCTTGCCAGCCCTGATCTGAGAATAGATGGGTCAGGATCCAGAGAAAGAGAGCGAGAAAAAGAGATAGAGAGAGAGAGTTAAAGATTTACAACAGACTATGGATATCAGTGAAATTCGTTTTTTTGGGAAAATATATTACAGATAGCACAAGCATAATTTTAGTCATAACATCTAGAGATAGTAGTGAGGAACCTATGCCATTTAACTAGTAAAATGTTGTCAGGGCTCAATGTGCATTAAAGATGGAGCTGCCCACTTAGAATTGAGTGTAAGCTTCTGTGTTTGCACAAGACTTAGAGTTGAACTTAGAGTATGCTGTATTGCTCAGTTGCTATAGTTGCTGTAAGGAAACATGAATGTTTCAGTGCCTAAATCAGTCATGGTAATTCCTGGAGAAAAGCTGAGAGTGGGATGTGCATAGTTGAATTTGGAGCAAAGCCATGAGTGGGAGGTGAAAAAAGGGGAATGTGAACAAATATTAGAAAGCCTGAGCTCTCTCTCTTTTTCCAGAATGACAAAGACACATCCTTTTAGTGGTCTGCAGTAGGCCGGCAGCCAGAAAGAGATTGATAGATGCCCTTGGTCTTCAGCTCAAGTCCTTGTCTTTACCTCTATCTTCTACCTAAGACGTGAGCCCAAATGCAAAGCACAGCCCTACATTTTATCTTTCTCCAGATAATCTAAACTGGACTTCCTGTAGTTAACCCCTTAAAATCCCAGACTTATTACATACTAAGGCTTATCATACAGTGACAACAGTGACTTCAATGCAAACTGGCTGAGCTATTTTTAGGTTATAGCAGTGTTTAATAAAACTCTGGCCATTTAAGGGGTTAAAGGTGGGGTCAGTGATTTTTAAGTCAAACATTTTTTTGTAATCTGTCGCAAAATTCTCCTCACATTCCAGAGGCCGTCGATAAAAATATTAATTTAGAGGAGAAAATCAAATCCCTTTGGCTTTGTAACTGGGAGAAAAGAACAGATGATGTGGACCACCTATATTCAACCAATGAGCATGTGGCAGCGTATCTACTTGATCGACTCTGTCAGTCATGTTGTGTGCCAACAGCACATAGCATGAGCTACCAAACTGAGTTCTGAAAGACCCATTACGACAGCTGATTAGTTCTTAAAGAGGTAATGGCAGAGAAAAAAAATAAATAATCCACCATTTTCCACAGCAATTTTTGTTCTAAACTGTGCAGCTGATATAGCCAAGTAGCTAACTAGTGCAATTCTCCATGAACCATGTCAGTTATAGTATGCCGTAGCGCTAGCTAAGAAAAATTGTTGATGATGGTAGCTATATAAAGCTAACAAAATGGGCTCTGCACTCTGGGTTCAATGTTAACTGTCCATTGTGTTAACTAATATTGGCTAGCTAATTTGTTCTGTAGATGTCTACTCATGTCATCACTTTATTTGTGACAATTAATTACAGTTATGAAGTGCATCAGCATTTAGTTCTATCCTACAAAGCACCCATACATTCCATGCCTCTGTCAGGAACACTGGTTGAAGGGGCAGCTACAGCTGAACATCTACCCCACCTTCAATCCTGAGCTGTTGCAGGGTGATTAGTTAGTATAGTGGTGAACATTTTGCTCTTGTTTCTCTGGCTCCCACACATCCTGTGATGGACAAGTTTGTGACATGAATTTAGAGACAAGATGGGCAACATTTGTCACATTATTAAGAAAGAAAACTTTATTTCTTTTTTGTGATTTATAAACAAAACACATTACCACTTTATTCATTAAAATGAAATAAAAAAAAAAAGAGAAAGAGAAAGATGGACTTTACTATTTCACCGTCACAGTTGATTAGCAGGTGTACAAAAAGAAGGTTTTACAACAGATGAGCACTGCCCATGCAGACAGTGCTGCGCCACCTACTGACCACCACCAGACACTGAGAAAAAAATGACAGCATGAACGCTCACTAGGTACAAGCATACACTACATATACTGTATTTTACATCAGTTTTTTTTTTTACATTTTCTTTGCTTATTTTTTTATTCCTCAAAGGGGTGAAGGAGAAGAGATAGAGTTGTAATACATAATAATTCAGATACAATAATACAGTGTTAGATCAGTATGTCGAAGCCAGACACAAAAGTGATATATATTTTTTTGTTTTTTGTTTTTTTTTTCTTCCGTAATTTGTCAAAAGCAAAACTGAAAAGAAAGGAAAGGATCAAGAGCTTCAGGGCATCACACTATATAGCATTTACAAATATCTAGAAGGTTTAGTAACATTGTAGATGTCCATTGTGAGTGGGTGCAGAGGGTGTCAATATGCAAAGGCTTAGTAGAGACGGTACATACACAAATCTCTTGTGCGAGTAATGGATAAAAATCATAAACAAAAATAGTAAATCATAGCAATCTATATCTATATTCATATATATCTCTATATAGTAAGTGTTTCCCTCTGATTAGGTCATGCAGCAGTCACAGCTGAATGTGACATCAGTTTGAGCCATGAGTTTGGGGGTGTGGCTATAGAGTAGACAGGCAGGGGAGGGAGCCAGTAGCAGCAGAGCAGAAGCATGTAGCTTCCCCTTCACTGGAAACCAACAGGGCAGAGATAGGAGTTTGGGGTGGAGAAGATAATTCCGTTCCATCTGCTAGATTTTCTTCTGGAGTAACTTGATAACCTTTTCAGGCCAATTTCCAACTCAAATCAATGTGAACATACCATGGTTCAAATCAGTAGAGCTGGTAATTCAATATTTATGTCTATTCAGATCATGACCTACTCCGGCCAAACTCCTTCCCTTGACCATGCGCTGAACCCTCCCCTCTGTTTTATCCTCTCCCCCTGAACAAACACAAGCAGTGAAGAACCAGCAGCCAGTTCACTGGTCACACACACACTCACTCACACACTCACTCACACACACACACAAAGAGGAGTGATGTTCACTGGATAAAAGCACTAGACTGTGTACATATCTGACAGAGCTCTCGGAGCTGTCTCTGTTCTCTGCAGGGGAGATTTAACAGGCATTATCTGCATTACTCCATGCTACGCGAGCACACCACAATGACTAGAGCTAGCCTACCCAACATTCAGACAGAACAGAGGATAAACCCAGGGCAGAGAGAGTCAGAGAGAAAGAGAGCGAATGATGCACTGTACAGATGCAATATAGATCAATTAAAGCTTATAAAAACAGAGCTTAAGAAAAAAACACCACCCTTTTTCAACTTAAAACAAAACTCAAGAATCGGACAAATTTGTTCTTAAATTTCGCTGATGTGTGTTAGTCCTCCAGGCAGAAAGGCAAGGTTACATTGTACAGGACAAGTTCCACACACCGCACCCTCAGATGGGCTGAGGAAGCAGGCACAAAAACAGGGTTAAAGGTCCGAAGGAAAACAAGCTTAGGGGCAGCGTTACCAGACATTCACAGCATAAGCTTCAGGCCACTGCAAAAGGGAAGTTCTGAGGGGATAAGAGGGGTTCTGAATTTCCCTAACACTGCTCTTTTTATGTATTGTACAATTGTATCAGCTATCTGTCTATGCGACACTACCTAACTACAGTCTTTTCAGTAATAGAATCAGTTTCTCTGCTGCCTGTGTAGCTCCGTCCCCCACTACAGCGTAAAGGAGAGAGGCGACCAAAGCACCACTCTTGCCAATAGGCAGCTATATTTATCCAATGTAGCAGTCCAAGTTTTCCCTGTTTCTTTCAACACTCTGATTCTTGCCAGAGATGTGTTTCCCCCAGTTTTGCCCTGTGCTTGGTTAGATGCTTGGCTTTCCCAAGGCACAGCTGCCTCTCTGAAAAGATACAGAAGATAGGAATGCTGCTGGGGTTCTGTTGGTAGCAGAGTGCTGATTTTGACCCTGTTTTAAAGGTGTATGTGTGAGTGTATGCGTGTGTGTGTGTGTGTATGTGGCTAGGGTAGGAGTTTATGTTTTCAGATAATACACCTATACAATGGCTGGGAGAGTGCTAGTTACAAAATCAGTACTAAACAAAACAAACAAAAAAGTGCTTGCATTTCACCATTCAGCATTGTTTTTCTTTCATTTTTGCGAATACACAGATCAATATAACTCTCTCTCCCAGACTGGGCTCTTTTCTCTTTCTTTCTTTTGAAGAGCCTCATGTGAAAGTGTTCTTGTGTCCCTTGTTAGTCTGAGCTGCTCCTCCATCGTGAACACAAAGACAGAGAACAGAGTGAGCAGAAGCATTAGTTTAGCATCATCACTGCGTTTTACTTTACAGCACGGCGGGCGGTTTCTCCTTCTGCCGCCATATTTACACCAGTGCGAGTCCCACTTCCAGTCTCAAAGCTTTTCCTTTTTGTTCTTTGTTTTTTCACTTTTCTTTTCTCCTTTAATTTCCAACCCTTCTCCCATTCAGCATGTGAAAAGTGGTGCACTGCTTTTGAACTTTTTTTCTGATTTTGTCTCCCTCTCGAACAAGACCGGAAAACGAAAACCACAAGGATGAATAAGACAGAGGTGTCAACAGCAGCCTGAACAAATAAGGGGATAAGGTGATAACCCTCTCTCCACTCTCTTAAATCTCTCTTTCACACTCACTCACTCTTTCTGGTGAGAAGAGTGGGTGGCCAGGCACTCTGGGGCATGGAAGAAAATAATAAATCAATCATATCATTTCATCATTTACATCATTAAAGAGAATGGTGTTAACCGTAATCTGTGTAAGGCCAAATCTGATAGAATTAAACATGGACCAAGTTCAAAGATCTTAATCAGAGGCTTCCTGTAGGCCATGTGAAATATGTAAGAGGAGATAAAAATATAAGAAATAATCTGCACCTATGACCTTATTAACTGTTTGAACCATTGCAGACTCCTGTTGAGATCTCTGTCTTATATACAAGTGTTCTTTTTAAACGCATCCTCTCCTACTCTACTCATCATCATCTTTCCCTTTCTCCCTTTTGTCCTTCTTCTCCTTCTTCTTCTTTTTCTTCTTTTTGGCCTCTTCCTTCTTGCCAAAGGTGATGAAGTCACTCTTGTCATCACCGTCCTGCCCTTGTCTGATAGAGATGATGGCAGGAGAGCCAGGGATTATGAAGGCTTCAGGTGGGACTTCGCCAGGCTTCAGATGTTGAGGGGGTCCGCCAGGGCCTGGGCCATACCGGAAATGCCAACTGTTACTGTCCACACCAGCGCCTACGGGAGGAGACACTTCCCCACCTTCATTATCTATCAGAGAGAGAGAAATAGAAACTGTTATCATTGCTGTTATAAATACTTGGATCTTAAAAAACACCCACACACAGCCTATAATTAAGCCAAGTTAAACATGTGAAGCAGACTTTCTAACATAACAGCATTTTAGAATGAATGTAAAGCCTTTGAACTGTTTTATCTCCCCAGGGAACAATCATGATGTCATAACAGCTTTCCATGATATGGCATTCCACATGTTTTTAAGCCTCAAATAGAGGTGCCTAGTAAGAAAGGGCCTTCTTGAAGTCGGTCCTGATAAGCACGCAGTATCAGACAGCTATGGCACAAAATAGAACAGCCACCGACAGGATACAATTACATGTCAGGCCCAAACCATTACAGAAGGAGAAGAGGGAAAGGTCAGAGAAGAAAGGCTGGCATTTTAACAGAGGTAAACGCATGCTGACATCAAGGCAAAGAGTATGACACCCACACACACACACCCACACACACAAACACACACACACACATTTTGAGACATGACTGAGACAACTGAGTTACCACACTTTTTAACCTCACTGAATGATAGCAAAAGGCTTAAAAACATAGATGAAGGGGGGGGTGGGTGAATATGTCTACGTCATACTGTAGTGAGGTGAAGAAGAAGTGTTCATGTGCATGGGCAAGTGAGAAAGAGACTGATTCTGACTCCTCTACAGGCTGTTTGGGTGTGAATATGAGTCACCACGCTGGCTCACTGTGTGTATGTGTGTGCATGTTCCTCTCCAAGCCAGGGGCATCTCTCTCCCTCACTGACCAGAAATTACTGCTGTCTCAGTAGAGCACCAGAATGAGGCACTTTTATACACCCCTACTCATACAGCACAGCAATACAGCATCTCATCTAAAGATCCATAGAATGTAGAGCCAAAAAATGCCTACCTCTCTTTCTTTAACATATACAGCTATGTAGCCTATTTTGACTCAACATCTACTGCCTGACCTGATGTGGCTTGAGACCAGGTTTGGGACAGTTTTTCACATACAACTTAAGGTTTGGGTTTGTTTACTAATGAGTCGAAGGTTTGTTTTTATTTGAAGGATTGTGCCTATGTACATTTCACACTCTCTCATTCTCTCTCATTCTCTCTCTCTCTCTCTTCCTCTTTCTCTAGTATGTCTATTTATCTCTAGCAATTTTGTAGTCTATAGCCACTATAGCTAGTGTTTGGACAGGCTCTGGACTTTGAGTGAGTGAACATACCCCTAAATGAAAAAAAGGGATGAAGTTCTATAGTATATCGATGAATGATGAGTGGGATGTGTTGGGTTGGTGGAAAGGTCACATTGGATCTTTCCCCTTGCTTAAGTTTGCCCAAAGTGTTTCTGTAGGTAGAAGCAGCAAGAGGACTTTTTGCATGATCAGTACGATCGACAATTCCATAAAAGATAATGATAATAAATACTGTTGGTGTATTACAGATGTGTAAAATACCAGCTTATCACAGCGTGACATTTTCTTTTGATCAAATGATTAGTAACAAAGCAAAGCACGGTAAAAACATGTCTGTGATAATCCAAATCAGTTGACTAATTTGGATCAAAGGTCTTAAAGTCACAGGTAGACATAGGGGTTTTAAATTCATGCTTGTCCAGACCTCTAATTCAGATTACAAAGTAAAAGATCCAGCTACAGTTGATATAGCGTATTCTTAACTTTATTAACTGAGCTAGAGTGGCAGATTATTCTGACCACACATACAGATACATTATAGCTCCATAATCAGACCACAATGTCCCACTGTGGATGTCAAATTAAGAGGACACATTAAATCAATAGATCACATCATCACACCAGCTACATCATTAAAGAAATGTGCCACATTTGGCGATTTTGGTAAATGTGGTGTTGTTTCTGTGTTCTTAGAATTGCTCAGAAACACCCCACCCCTACCATTAGCGAGACATAAGAGTCAGCATCAATAGACATAACTGTGACCTACTTTGTAAACTTCTTTAGGACACAGCTAGACCAGCACCCTTTTCTCTCTTCTTTTTTTATCTCTTTTTCAGGCATCTCTTACGCTACCAGAAGGATGTTTGTGAGAGTCAGTGCATTGGTGTGTGAATGAGTGTGACTGCAAGCAGGAGTTGTCCTTACACTGAGGTCTCCATATAACCTCTCTCTCTCTCTCTCTCTCTCCCCCCACACACACTGTGGCTGTGAATAGTAACTAAAAACATCATTGCATTTATGCATGGTCTAAGTGATGAGCTTTCTGAGAGGGAAATCCTGAAAGAATACTAGAACATATGCTTACTGCAGCAGAATGTTGAATGTATAACAAGAAACAAAAACAACCTTCTTACAGTCCACTGCAGAAAACAAACCACACAAAAATGCAAATTGCTTGAGCAATTTGTATTAAATGAGCATCCAAGTGATGCATAAATACTATTAATGATGAATAAATGAGACAATTTCTCTCAAATGAGATAGAAATAAGCTTATTTAAAAAGTGGGAAATAACCCCAGCCTCCTAGCAGCAGACTGGGGTTCGATTTCCTGCCCAGATTCACATAATACACCAATTCAGTTCTTCAGGAAGAACTCCTTACACTACATTCATCTACATCTGTAACTTGATTAAATTGTACATTGTTCTGCATGAAAGCATCTGCCAAATGCAGAAAAGTAAAAGTATTATAAATACCAATAAGTCAATATTTAAGAATTGTTTGTTTAGTTAACACTTTGCATAAAAAACAGGTGTGAATCTTATGATAAAATATACGCCCTGCATTCCACTACTGATATTCTCCTGCATGCAAACACACACACATAGACTGTGCCATCCTGCCCCACACATGTTAGCCTGTCTCGCTTCCTAATCGCATTTATTCTGCTGCTGCATCACATTGCAAATTGTCAGCACTGGCACTTTTCTGCACATGTGTGATTTTTTTGTGTGAGAGAGAGAGGGAGAAAGAGGGGAAGAGAGCTCCCTTTTGGACATGTGCAAATCAGGATTAATGCAGATTATGAGCCTAGGAATAGACACTGACCCACAGACCTACCAAATACAGATTCAGATTCAGCTTCTTTGTGTGTAGTTGATAAATAAGGAAAGTGAAATACGTCAATGTGTGGGGAAAAAAGCCTTTAAACTGGGTCTGAGCTTGGAAACCTGGGTCTCTGGCAATCGTACAATATGTGTCTCTATTGAAATTCCAGAAACAAATGCCTTTTACTGTGGACTAGAAAATACTGAGGTAATCCTACACATCAATTCTAAAAAGAAATGCTCACTAATATAAGTAAATGAGCATTCAGTGGCAGATATGCACTGATTCTTACCTTCTCTACTGCAGTTCACTGAAGAATCCATGATATTTTTGGAATGTGCAAACCATGAAATGGCTGACAATGTTTTATTATAAACACAAATCTAGTTTATGCTAGTAAAGGTGAATGGGTTATATATATAGATAGTGTTTTTTGTTGTTCTTTAATGCTGATGTAATATATTTCAGTGGAAATGTGTATGATTAACAAAACTTGAAGTGAACTGTTTTTTCATCTTTGTAGGTGAGCAAGCCAGTCAGCATTTTCAAAAGTGCTTTTATTGTGTTTAAATGCTTCACATGCATCCCTTAGACCATAGCGTGTCCTATTGATGAATTATTGGAAAGTGGAATTTTTCATATGTCAGGTGCCTGTTCACAGATAGCTGTGCCTAAAGTAAGCAGTAGGTACTTTCTGAACTAATTACCATATACGCTAACTCCAGTACATGTCACTTAAGGTATGTAAGACTGTGTTTTAGGAGCTTAACCTTAGACAGCAGCTTATGACTAACTTGATTGTGCAGTTTGCATTGTCTACGTCAGGTATTATGCTGTTTCAATGACAACTTTAACTTTTATTGTCCAATGAGATGTTCTTCATAACTGAACAAGTTCTTGCTTATTTTTGATTGGGGTCATTTTTTTTCATATCACACAGTATTTCACTCACAGAAAGCCAGTGTATCCAAGTTAATCTGATAAGAAAGTTACAAGGAATATACTTGATTTGATTACAAATTTCCATTCTGCTGCCAGAGTGGCCACTAGGTGGGCCTGCAGAAAGAAGCTAATCAGTTACATGCTAGAACACTAAAATTAGAACAGCAGAACTAATCGGTCATGGTTGACAGCACAAGAAAAGGATATGTATTACCCTGCATTCTGTTAACTGGAAAAACCCAGAAAATTCTATTTATGAAAATTCTGAGAGAAACGTTATGTGTGTATGGAAGAGAAGAAAGGAATAGAGGTAGGAGGGAGAGATGTGAGGAGAGAGAGAGGGGTGGAAAAAGAAAGAAAGAAAGAAAGAAAGAAAGAAAAAAAAGAAAGAAAGAAAGAAAGAAAGAAAGAAAGAAAGAAAGAAAAAGAAAGAGAAAATGATGAACAGACAGAATCCATTATGGGCTTTCAGGGAGCTGACTGACCTCCCAACTCCCTCAGCAACACAACAATTATGTATAAAACCTCTCACTAGTGTTGTGTGCGTATAAGAGACAAAGAAAGAACAGAGATAGAAAGAAGGAGGGAGAGAGAGAGAGAGAGAGAGAGAGAGACAGAGAGAGAGAGAGAGAGAGAGAGAGAGAGAGAGAGAGACAGAGAGAGAGAGAGAGAGAGAGAGACAGAGAGAGAGAGAAGGAAAGATTTTGGTGAATAGACAGAATCCATTATGGGCCTTTAGGGAGCTGACTGACCTCCCAACTCCCTCAGAAGCACAACATTTATGCATAAAACCTCTCACTATTTCTCTCGTATTGTCTCCCTAAATATGCACCAGACTCTCCCTCTACCTATTTTTTGATACAGCCCACATCATCTCTTTCTCTCTCTCTCTTTCTGATCTTCTATTCTCACTTTGCCTCCTCCTCCATTTGCCACAACAGTAACAAAGGACACATGTCTCATGCTGCCAGAACTCCATGTATTGGCATGATAAAATAATAATAATAATAAAAAACAAGACAAAG